CAAAAGATTTCTGACCACTCGTTGCAAGCTCAATGACAGCTTGAATTACTGGTAGGTTGTTCTTCCTTCTGCGCTACCTGAGGTTCTTTTGCAAGTACTTTTTTTTAGCTAGGGTTGTTATAGATTATGTGTTGTTTATTTTTGCTAACATTACTATCTTTTTGCTCAGTTCAAGATTCTTAGCTTGATTTTTGGCAAAAGTTTGCTCTTTTGTCTCTTCTTTTTCAATTACCTTATTTTATCTTCATTTTCCTTTGTTCTTTCAACTTTTATTAAAGCTAGAGGATTGTTCAAAAATTTCCATATGTAGGTAAATTCTCTTGGTACAGTCATTCTTAAAAGCAGGCACTTGCTTTCTTCACTTGCTTCCTTCAATTAAATTTGCTGGCTGTGTTATGATTGTAGCTCTTTTTTTTTTTTTTTTTTTTTTTGGCGGGTTGATTTTCGGTAACCAAAGATCCCTTCTTGATTTCTTGCAATTAAGATCACTATTGTACATTAATGTCAATCCAGAACTTCAATCGATAGTTTTCCTTCTGAAAGGACAGCTTAGGCAAGGAAGTGACTAGATTTCTTTATTTCGTCAAATTCATCACTCTTTAGTTCGTCTTCTTCTGAAATTTCTGTGCATGTATTTGAAAAAATATATAATAAACATTCGTGTATATATGTCAGTGAAAATTTTTTGATTTGCTTGTAAGTATACTTGCAATTGAATGTATATGATAGTTAAAAACAACTAGAATTCAAGAGGAGTGTATATTACTGGTAGGACTTCTCTCTATCTTTATAGAGTTATACAAGATTTTGTTACAGAGATTTTAGCTACAAACAATTGGATAAAAAAGCAACGATTCTATCATTATCCGGTTGTTCTAATAAACTACCATGCTATCATTATCTGGTTGTTCTAATAGACTCCTATCTCCAACAGAAGGATCAGTATCAATTGTATGCAGGGCATGTTGATTCTGTTGTTGTCCAGGAGAAGTCACAGCAGGTCATTGTCTTAACAATGATGCATGCTTTTTCTCATTTTATGTCTGTAAACATTGATATGGTCCTCTGTTAATGAATAAATAACAATAGGTCTATGGTTTTTGTACTCAGCCTCTCTCACTTTCTTATTAGGGATTCTATTTTGATCAGTACGTGATTGATTATCTTGGTTGATTTTGCATGAAGGGTGTGGTTTGAATTTTTTTCCTTGAGGAAGATGACTCGAAAGAAACTCCAGATCAAGAAGATAGACAGCATAACTGCAAGACAAGTGACATTCTCAAAGAGGAGAAGAGGGCTTTTCAAGAAAGCTTATGAGCTCTCAACTCTATGTGATGCTGAGATTGCTCTCGTGGTGTTTTCTGCAACCGGCAAGCTTTTTGAGTACTCAAACTCAAGGTTCTTCTATTTTTCATTTTCTTGTTGTTTTCTATTTTATTGTCATCTGTGATCTCATTGATCAACCTAGGAGTCACTAATAATGGTTTCTTTTGAACCCAACAAAATTGAAAAAAGAAGAGAACTGAAATAGATATACAACAGAATCTTTTGGTATCTGTGATCAAAATAATATTTTTCGAGGGAAAAGGAGAGAGCAGCTTAGGGAGAAGTTGGAACTGATAAGAAGGTTTAGAAGTCGGTTGCTGCCACTTACTGCTAGTTGAAATCCTTTTACTACTTATCTGATCTGAAATCAAGTTGATTAGTTTATGATTTAATAGTCTTAATTGCTTCTGTTTCCATTTGAACAAAATAATATTTTACTACTTATCTGATCTGACATCATTAAGTTGTTTTTGCATGCACCAAAAACCACAACTTAATAAATAAAAGGTTGTGCTCATAAAATATTGGGTATAGAGGACTGAATTATGCAAGGCCGTCGTTTCCCAGAAAATTTAAGGGCAAATTTTGAAACTTTAATACCCCTAATAGTATAAATTATTTGATAAAAGATCATTGACTACAAATTGCTTCATATTCTATAATGATGTTGGAGCTCTTAATATTGCTGTAGTCTGAAGTGATTTGTAGCATAATGTTTAAGTGGAAAAAAAAAAAAAAAAAGAGAACTTTTATTGTTCTGTACTATTTTCATATAATTGCCTGATTTGTACTCATCATAATTAATTTTTCAGTTTATATATTGATTCATTGGACCAGCACTAGATTTTTTTTTTTTTTTTTTTTTGGAGGTTAGAGATATCCTGCCGCTAAGGTACATATACACACTGTTTTACATCACAGAGTTTTTGGGAAGAAAGTTAAAATCTTATCATTGGTGTGTTGGGGTTTGCAAGACACTGATTGGTTGATAGGACTGTGACTTAGCTACTGAATTATTATTGAATGAATCAACACACAGCTTCAATATTGCTCAATTGCAATTTACACGCTAATATATGATGAACTACAACAACAATGATGTCTTTTATATATATAATGACTTCTAATCAAGTGTCATGTATGATTTTCTGGTCATGCATGTATGGTTTCTTTGTAAAATATTTCCATGTGAAAACATTTTCACGGAATGACTACCAAGAGATGTGGTTTAAAGGTAAAATGATTGTTTGATTTGATCACTATTAAGGTTCAATTTGGACTGTTTATAGATAATTAGCCATAATTATTATATCATAATGGTACCAAGCTTTAACTGATTTGGTTTAAGAGAGAATCTGAAATTGAAGAGTTTCACGTGATATTACTGATCTATTCTATGAACTTTACAAATCCTAAAACTATAAATGTACTAAAATATTAAACAAATTTTTAAGAAAAGGAAAATTTAGTAATAAATTTAAATCAAAAATTAAAATTTTCGATTCACATTTGTAATGTAAATTGAGAAACCAAGTTAAGACAGATACTTTTTCTTGTGACAATATTGCCAAGGTTGTTTAATGAAAATTGAACCCAAACATGAAAATATCAAAAATCAATTATACCGTTTCTAGTTGAGATTGTTGATTGTTAGAAATTAATGTCTTTTTATTATTTTATTTTATTTTCATATCATTTTTTCAAAGTACACGTGATAAAAAAAAAAAAACTTATTTTAGTAATAAAGTTTCAAAGCACACTATTTAAGGATTAAAATCTAAAAACATCGTCATCAGAAAAAAAAATCATAAAGAGGTTTTATAGGAATAGGAAAAGTGGATTTTAGTCTTGGTGGGCACAAGTTGGCACAAGAGAAAATTCTAAATAGAACTTTTATAGGAAGTGCTAGAAAAAGCCAAATTTTCTTGGGTTTTGCTTGCATCTGTAATTAAAATTCCTTTTTATTAGATCTTTTAGGTATTGTGTTGTTCCAGATTGCTTAAGGTTTTTACAGTGCAAGATTTCGGAAAAATCAACCCATATTTCACAAGTGTTTCATAGGCACCGTTGGGAACTTGGGACTAGGCCTTAGATTGATTATTTTAGATTAGTTTTTTGGTTAGAAAGGAGAGGTTCGAACTAAAAATCTTTTGAAGGAAGATGAGACACTAATGCCAGCTAAGATTAACATTAAGAAAATAGGAGATTTGAGCTTTTGGTTCTCAAGGCAATCGATATGACCTTATATATGATATTAGGGTTTGTTATTGTTAGATTGAGTTATTATTGTAAACTTTTTTTCTTCTATAAGATTTATCATTGTTGTTGTATCTGATATTAGGATTTATTGAAAATTTCACTCGATCATCTTTCAAGATTGTCTGACGTCTAGTTGTTCAGGTTTGCCTTTAGAAAGTTCATGATTGCGCATGGATCATAACTGGGAGGTGTCTTGCAGATGGCCTTTACGTGTTTTGTTTTCCTGCCATGCTTTCGGCAAAGTTATATGGTTGGTCGGTGTTTTGGTGGAGTTAGTAGTTTTCTTGCAGAGTTGGTGTGACTAGTTTTGGTAATTTGATTGCTGCTTGTTTTTGATCAATCAGTCTCAGTTTCCTTTGCTTTGCAGGTATCTGGTAAAGTGAGGGTACTTTGCTTTTTGTTTGTCGTGGCATGACCATGGATTCTCCTCCCTTTATATGGCATTCTTGCTTCCTTCTTGGTTCCTGCTCTTTCTGGTTTTTTGTGTATCCTGGGCTGCCTCCCTTTCCAGGCTTCATCTGCTGGCTATTTTGCAATTTGATATTTGCTGTTTTTGGGTCTCCATATTCAGACCCTTCTGCTGTTTGGCTCCCGTAGTCTTCATCCATGTGTGGCTGCTGCCTGCTGCTATTTGATCTAATATTCAATTATCTCTCCTGCCTTGCATTTTCTAACCTTGAATAGCTAATTAATCTTGCATTCTGCATCCTCCTTAATTTTCTTTTGCCGCAATCTTGGTTTCATCGCGGCTTTCATGCAATCTCTGTTGCTGCGGACAATATGGCTAGTCTTCTTCGTTCTTGTTTTGCCTTTTTTTTTGTTTTTCCCTAAGTTTTTGGGTAGCCCCTTCATTTTAGGTATGGTGGTTTGCTGCTGTAATGGGGGCAGCAATCTGATATTTCCTCTCCAAGTTGGCATTTTTATTGCTGCTCGGTGAGCTTTTTTGTTATTCTCTACCTACAACATAAATAATAATGAAAACTAAACCTCTCTACCTCTACTCCTGATCTTTTTACTTACTCTTACGTAGACATTTTTCAATCAAAAAACTTCTGATTGGCTTAACAAACTAAAATAAAAAACATTTTAGGTAGGATCACCCTGCCCTAACCATTATGATCGCTTTTAAGCTTAAATGTGTTTAGCACCCTTCGTTTGTACGTCTTCTAGGATATATTTGCAAGAGATAGTTACCTTTCTATTGATAACGATCAATTTATCATTGAAAATAGCACATCTCTATGATCAGACAAGAGAGGTTTTTTATTTTTTTCTGAAATAATTATGGGAAAAATCCTAGTAGCTAGCAATTAGAAGTGAACACGAATAATTCAAGAAATGATTGGCCTGTCTTTTGATCTTGAAGCATTGGGCAAGTGATCGAAAGGCACAATCTACATCCGAAGAACATCGACATGTTCGGTCAACCATCCCTTGAGCTGCAGGTAATTAGTTTTTATATTGTTGCTTATCAAGTTTTTTTTTTGGTAAGCCAAATTTAAATAGATAAATTAAATTAAAAACTAGCAAGATATTGGCATGAACAAAATACAAATAAAGTTATATGAACTTTAATTATTCTTTTTTGATAATACTATGGTTAGAACCAAACTATGGTTAGATAGACTATCAAAGAAAGTAATATTATTAAAATCAATATCTAACTTCAAAAGCTTGTCATATGAACTTTTTTTTTTTTTTTTACCAGTTGATTTTCCATAAAATATATTTTTTTCTTTTCTTTCAGTTAAATGTATCTATTTTTACTGTTTAAAGAGGACTATAATTTTATTTTTTCCAGGAGATCCCCAAAATCTATTAATTTGAAATTAAATCTCAAGTCTCTTTGCAGCTATAGAGATTTTGAAAATTAGAGATGAGCAGCGTGACTCGTGCTCAAGTTCTCTATCCAAACCATGTCGAAAAGCTAGCCTCAAATGATAACTCAGGACCATTTGAAATATGATATGACATTGATCTATAGTTTGGACCTGTAAAATGGATGATGGCCTGCAACTTTACACCAGATAATTTGTTTCAAAACCTTTGAATTAAGTTGAAGAAGATAATGATCTTGTCTCTAGAATCTAACTATATTAATTCTATAAGATTGCATGGTTATGCATTAATAAAGGCAATATTCTTTGTCATTTTAGCTTGATGGTGCTGTGTACGCCATGCTGAACAAGGAAATAGCAGAGAAAACCCGTGAACTGAGGTAAAATTTCAGGATTAAGAACTTGTTGCCATAATAGTTTAACATTCCAATTCTAATGCTGAGACATATGGCGACAGGCAAATGAGGGGAGAAGACCTGCAAGGATTGAACATAGAAGAATTACAGAAATTAGAAAAATTAATCCAAGGAAGCTTGTGTCGCGTCTTGGAAGAAAAGGTTTGTGCAGTTTTGTCGTTTTAATTCTGCAGATAGGTTGGTCCTGCTTATATATGTGCTGAAAACTTTGTACAATACCTAAAACATATATTTCAACTTGTAATTGTTTCAGGAGGATAAAATTGTAAATGAGATGGAAGCTCTCAAGAGAAAGGTGACATTCCTGACCACGTACATGTTCAGGCTCTTCATGCAAAAATTCGTAAACATTATAAATTTTCAGTTCCTCCTTGTTACTCACCCGCACTTTTGAGTTCATTTTATATTTGGCAGGTGATGAATTTATCAGCAGGAAAAGGACAATTGCTTGAACGAGGCCAGTCATCAGATTCCCTGGTGACCAATATCAGCAGCATGAGCTCAGCTGATCTTCGTCAGGACTCCGACAGCTCTTGTGCTTTTCTTACATTGGGGTTGGCTTGTTACTCTCATTTCCAGGCAAATGGTTTCTATGAATTTCATTCAGTTTGCTTGTGGCTATGCACTCATTCGAACGCATTATAATTACCTCAATTCAAACAACATTAAACTGATAATCAGGACATGGTAGTTTATTCAATTACTATTTTTTAGGTTATTAATGTTCTGATTCCTGTTTTTTTTTTTTATTTATTTATTTAATAATGCAACTCCAAAATTTCTTGCAGGTTACCCTTTCCGGATTGAATCAGCAATATGGAGGTTTATCCAGCATATTTAATGGCTTTGCCAGTATTAATTTCAAATAAAATTTTATCTTTGCTTGTAGTAAATAAAATTCCTGTGAGCCAATTTCATATTATGTATATTAATATGATTTGTAGAAATTATCTCATCATATATCGGAGAGTAATATAAAATTATTTTTTAAGTTTCACTTAATAGTTTAAACTTTATCATTGAAATTGTTTTTATTTTTCTAATTATAATATTAGAGTGAGTTTGAATTTTATCATTCTTATTTTTTCTTTTAATTAAGCACAGGTAATGTTTCAAGTTCAAATGTTTTTTAAAATATAATACAAAATCATTTTTGAAGTTTTCTCTACGAAATTAAAGTTTTAAAATATAATACAACTGTGGATGGGAAGAGGGTCATAAAAATGATTGGAAGAGGGCAAAATTGGTATGCAAATTGCTGAATTTCATTGCGTTATAAAAAAAAATGTATGTTCTATTTTCCAAAGAAAAAAGAGAGAAAAAAAAAGGTCGGATTCTACTATAGAATTAAAATTAATTAACAAGTTTGAATGTTAATTGGTGTTCTATGAATGGATTATGCTCGTGATGAATAGGAAATCTTGTATATTTTGTGTGATAGTAGTACACTAACCCTATATATATATATATATATATATATATACAAAATAAGATAGTCTAAAGAAAGGAAACAAAAGTCTGTACAAGGAAAAGAAAAGCTGTACATAAAATCCCGTTATCATAGGCCTATTTTATAGCTTATATTATAGCCACTAATATCGTTAACACCCCTCTCAAACTCAAGGTGGGAGTGTAGATACCAACTTGAGTTTGCTTAGTAAGTCATAGAAGCGAGTGGGAAGATGAGTCTTGGTGAAAATATTAGCTTTCCGGTCGGCAGAGGAGACGGATACCAAACGCGGAATGCCTCGAGTGACATGGTGGCGAACAAAATGACAATCAATCTCAATATGTTTGGTGAGTTCGTGAAAAACATTATTGTGAGCAATTTGAATAGCACTTTTATTATCACAATGGAGAATCGTGGAAGATGAATGGTGGATGCCTATATCGGATAACAACCGGTGAAGCCATAGTAATTCGGAGGTGGCATCGGTAAGAGCACGATACTCCGATTCGATACTAGAGCTAGCTATTACAATTTGCTTTTTGCTTCGCCAAGAGATGAGAGAGTCTCCCAAAAAAAGCAATACCCGAGTAGTAGAACGACGATCGGTGGGGTCACCAGCCTAATCGGCATCCGAATAGCCAAATAAGACTAGAGAAGTGTGAGTAGAGAAATGTAAGCCATGAAAAAGTGTCCCCTCGACATAGCGAAGGATCCGAAGTACAACGACAAAGTGAGAAAAACGAGGTGAGCTCATGAATTGGCTCACTAAATGAACGACATAGGCAATGTTAGGTCGAGTGACAATCAGGTAGACAAGACTCCCAATAAGTTGGTGATACAATGTGGGATCATCTAAAGGGGTACCATCCAATGGAGTTAGTATAACATTGAGTTCCAAATGAGTGGATACGATCTTACTATCCGTGATGCCGACCAAGAAAGTAAATCGAAGCATACTTAGCTTGAGATAAATAGTAACCATCGAGTTATGAGTTACTTCAAGGCCTAGGAAGTAGCTAATAGGACCAAGATCCTTCATCTCAAAATACCGACGAAGGTATTGTTGTAGTTCGAAATACAAGAAGTGTCATCACCTGTAATAATCATATCGCCAACATAGAGTAAAAAAAGCACAATACCATGATCGGTATGATGAATGAATAAGGCGAGTCATGAGGACTAGAAGAAAAACCTAACCGAGCAATAGTAAAGTTAAATTTTGCAAACCATGCCCGAGGTGCTTGTTTTAGCCCATATAAAGCTCGTCGAAGCTTGCAAACCTTGTGAGGAGGTTGAGTATAACCGGGAGGAGGATACATGTACACTTCCTCTTGCAAGTCACCATTTAGAAAAGCATTTTTAACATCCATTTGAAGGAGCCGCCAATTTTTAACGACTACAATGGCTAATGGATTGCGCATCGAGGTCAACCGAGCTATAGGAGCAAAAGTTTCTTCATAATCTATACCATATTCTTGAGTATAGCCTTTACCGACTAATCGTGCCTTATAGCGTTCAATAGAGCCATTAGAATGAGTTTTGATTTTGAAAACCCATTTGTATCAAATTGGAGTCTTCGCTAGGAGGGAGATCAACTAAGTGCTAAGTATGAGTTTTCCCCAAAGCTTGAAGTTTTTCATTCATAGCTTGTTGTCAAAGAGGGTTAGTGCTAGCCTTACGATAAGTGCAAGGCTCATGTAATTGTATAATAGCAGAATAACAATGATAATCGGATAAATGAGAAGAAGTTTCTCTTACTCGAGTGCTTCGACAAATGGTGGATTCGGATGCGGGAGCCACATTCCAAATAGTTTCAATATGAGTAGACGTAGAAGTAGGAGTATTATCATTGAGCTCGTTGTAGAATTTGGATCCGAACTAGGAAATAATTCAATAACGGGATCGATAAAAAGAGAGAGGGAGTAGTGACAGAGTGATGAAACTTGGAGAGGGAAGAAAACATAGTATTCTCCCGAATGTTACATGTCGAGAAATACGAAGACGCCGAGAGATAGGATCCCAACATCTATACCCTTTGTGTTTTATGTCATAACCAAGGAAATAACATAAACGAGCACGAGGTTCCAATTTGTTATGTTCATGTGGTTGTAGAAGAACAAAACAAGCACAACCAAAAGGTTTAAGGAGCGAGTAATTTGGAAGATTTCCAAAGAGTCTTAAGGAGATAGGTTATTGAGGACCAAAGTAGGAATGCGATTAATGGCAAAGACAACGATGAGAGGGGCTTCTCCCCAAAATTTTTCGGGACAAGAAGCGAGAAAGCAACAAAGTGCGTACGGAGTCAAAGATATGATGGTGTTTGCGCTCTGCTCGCCCATTCTATTGGGAAGTATGAGGGCGAGAGTGTTGGATAACAATACCCTATTGATCGAGAAAATGAAGCAAAGAGAATTCTTTATATTCCATGGCATTGTCGGTGCGAAGAATCTTAATGCTATGAGAAAATTGAGTTTTAATCATAAGGGCAAATTTAATATAAATAGAAGGCGGTTCGGATCGATGTTTTAAAAAGTATATCCAAGTAAAGCGAGAAAAATCATCAATAAAAAACACAAAATAACGATAACCATTAAGCGAGGCAATATGAGAAATACCCCAAATATCATAATGAATAAGTGTAAAAGGAGTATCCGAGTTAGAAGTACGATATTAAAAGACAAAGTTGGCTATTTACCAAGTTGACAATCAAGACAACGAAAAGACTCAAATTTAGTAGATCCTAACAAGCCACGAGAACCTAAAGAATGAAGTTTATTGGCGAAGCATGGCCAAGGCGAAGATGCCATTGATAAATAGAGGAGTGTATAGTAGGCTGCAGACACAAATCTTTGAGGAAAATGTAGGGAGCAAAGCTCGAATAATCGTCCTACTCGCGACTCGTCCCAAGAATCTGCCCGTCCGTGGATCCCGAACCCGACAACCAAATGAAGAAAACAAAACATTTAATCCTTGTTCATATAATTGGCCAATAGAGATAAGGTTTAAAGTCAAATTAGAAATATAATAAGTATTTGGAAGGCTAAGATTGGAGGTAGAAGCATGACCGAGTGTGAGAGATGTGCATTTGGGTACCATTAACGGTATGTATAGGTGATAAAGAAGTGGTCGATTGTTTTGGAGATAAAATATCGAACTCGAGGTCATGTGATTGCAACATGCGAGTCAAAGAGCCAAGAAGAATTACACGGGATAACGGACATAACGGGAGAAGAAGCGAAAGAGATAACCTATTTAAGAAGAGCCTCAAGAGCACTTATAGTAATGGCGAGTAGAACCCTCGGTGGCAACGACGACGAACGGATGAAGAGTCAAACTTTGAGAGAGCTCGAGATTTAAAAGAACCATTTTTCGATCGCGGAGGTCGAGTAGGACAATGTTCCAAGATATGTCCAAAACCATGACAATATTTACATTCGATAGTAGGATAATTGGCAAAAACATGACTAGTTTGATGACGAGTGCTTACAGAATAGAGTTTCGCATTTCGATAAGAAGGTCCGAAATGAGTGGCGAAAGAACAACTTCAAATGGAGGAGTTTTGTCCAGATTAAGACGTGTTTCCTAAAAAATAATCTCGTGAATGGCGACATCCAAGGTAGGCAAAGGAGTACGATGCAACAAAGAGGCTCTAATGACCTCATATTCTAGGCGAAGTGCCATAAGAACTCGAATGAGATGCGGATGATCTTCACTTATCTTGGCTCGAGATAAATGATTCCAAATAGGTTGAACCCGAGCAAGAAAGTCATTCACGGATTGATCGGGCTCCCGTTTGATATTGTGGAGGCTAGTCCATAGCCGATAATAGTGAGCAAGACCCGTAGTGGTGCACCGATTAGCTAAAAATCCCATATTTCTTTGGTAGTGTCATAATCGGCAAACTCGGATATGAATGGATGGAATTGAGGTATTGTGAAACCAGGTGATAATATGGTGATTCTTGTCGTCCCAATTGTCTAGTCGATCAACAAATTTGGCGACGAGACTTATCTTTTTGGAATTGGTTTAGCAATGTCACCGGTTATAATACGCCGGAGTTTGCGCCCAATCAAAAAAATTTTTATACCTTGAACTCATAGATTATAGTTGGTGCCGTTTAAGGTAGTAGCAATAGGTTTGAGAACCTCGGATTTGTCCATGGTAGAAAGACAAAACAATAGAATTCGAGAGAAAA